TATGAGGATTGTGCGAATCGTTCGGCGGCGTTGGAGGAAAGAAAATTGTCCTGAGCACTTTCTGGAAATCACAAGCGACAAACGGCAACAAAGGTTATCAAAAAAAGAAGGGAGTTGTGTGAATGGTGATCGTGTGATGTTTCCTGGCACCGAACGACACATTGTGATCTCGCAAGTGTGGAGGGACCCGGTGGTTGCTGGTGCGGCGAAAAAATGGTGAGTGAGCCCTTCTTGAATTATCTGTGTTATTCTTGTCAGGTAGGGCTAACATTGGGTAATGTTTGGTTGATAAACGAAACATGTGATCAATATTTGGTTCATTTTCAAGGCGTCAGTGAATAATCAGCGGAATTCGGATAATGCGTTGTTTGGACTACGTGTTTTTTTTTCGCAACAAAACTTCGGTAAAGCAAAACGGAGAGGTAAGCGAGTTGGCACTGATTCATTATGGCGTAAATGTATCACAAGAAAAGTGAACACCATAAGGGCTTGTGGTTGTTCAGTTTCTTGTACTCGTCTTTTTTGCGCAGCATTAACGCCATAATAACTTCGGTAAATTGAATCAAAAAGCTGTAATATTTGGAGCGCTGAATAAATATGTAACAATAGAAAATATGAATTTTAAGTTGATTCTATCAAATGTTATGAATTGTGATAGGTAAACTTAACTGGTTAAAATATATTTTAGGCCTTCTCAGTACACATACAATGGGATGGAAATGTTGTAGGCCCGTATGCTCAAGTTTGGGTGCACGTTAAAGAACCCCAGGTGGTCGAAATTTCCGGAGCCCTCAACTAAGGCGTCTCTCATAACCATATGGTGGTTTTGGCACGTTAAACCCCCCCCCCCCTATCAATCAATCAATTGTCAGTACACATAAACGGCAACATTTGTCCGCTTTCTATATCAATGAACGCCAGGTTGAGGACTACCACTGGGAAAAAATTATTTTAATAGAATATATAAGCTAAACTAATAAAACTTGGATAACTAAAGTCAGTGTTAATTCTTTATAAATTTAGTGAATTGGCGTAGGGCATACGCGCTCATACTTGTGAAAAAGTTGTTTTGGTTGTATAAGTGGCATCTGAGATATTAATCTAGAAGTATACTAGACTTTTCCAGGGACATGGTGCTTTCAGAAAAAGAAAGAGAGGGGCGAAACAAACTGACAATACTAGAGACGAGGATTGCAAAAAAAGAAGAGTGGTTGCTTGGCAGAACGAGTCATGCAGCGCTCGACGTTTCTGTGAAAGGGCGGGGGGTAGTAAAGTTTACCCATATGACAGCCTAGCTCAACATTCTAAGACGGAGGGGTCGTTGTAGTGAAAGAAAGAGAGAAAGGAGGAGGCACACTTTCGAAAAACTAGCCGTATTTTCTGTGTTGGTGATGGGGGAGAATACTATCCTTGCTGCTGCATTTTTTTTGCTCCTTTAAGTCGTACTGCCGTGGCTGTGGCTGCAGATTTCGTTTTTTTTTTTTGGCGGAAGACGGGATTGCCAACAGTGCTGAGACGTAGTTTTGACCTGGTAAATGCGACGAACACTGGCTTGAGAAGAGAAGAGGGAAAAGAAAATTTCTTCGAGCCTGGAACGCTCATTGTGACGCTTCCACTTGCACCGACTCCTGTGGCCCCCGAACGTGTGCGCGGATATTTCAGTTGAGTAAACTGGTTCGCTGTCATTTAAATATATAAAATGCAGTTGGCTTAGGTGGCGTAATAATTGTGCCTTTATTGCTTACCTATTTTGTTACGTTGTAGTGAACTTTTCCTTATTTTGTGCTTGAAAGTGTTCGTACACAATACATGCTGATACAATAACTACTTTGAAAAATGTTCACAACGACAAGTATTAAAATGAGTGGGCAGTACAAACAAAAAAATAAAAAAATGCCAATTTATCCCGAGACTTATTTCAGAACGGAGATGAAGCTAGGCTTTCCTTAAGGACAGGTCGCAACCATGCAAACTCTATGGCAAATTTTGCTACAAGTATGACGATGACCACGCACTAAAATGCGACTGTAATAATCAAATTTATTGTTCGATAAAACTAAGGAATTATCGGGAGGGGCATTGCTTATGCCATCTTCTAGAGTACTGGAATAAAAATATTTTAGTAAAAAATTTCTCTTGAATGTTTAAGCAAAGGTAGAGCTATCGATTTAGAAATTTACAGAAAACTTTGGCCAGTTTTGAACTTTGTTTGCGTCAGGGAAGGTGTGTTCTTATCATCTTGCAGCTGTCTCACACCGGATTACATAGGATAAGATTCTTGATATTTAACGCTCATCCTGTATTTCTGTGTGTGTGTGTGTGTGTGTGTGTGCGTGCATGCGTGTGTGTGTGTGTGTATGTGTGTGCGTGTGTGTGTGTGTGTGTGTGGTCAGTTTTAGAAGTTTAGTGAGTGTCCGTGGCTTCACTGTTCTCAGTTTCCATACCTCCGGCATGATTTGCCGTTCTCATATATAAGTGTTTTGACAGGTTATGCAGGAATCAATCGGCTCAACCCTTGTTTCGTCAATGAATCTGATGGATGGTCCTTCGGGGATGGTGAAGAGTTGTTCTCGGTGACCACGCTTTCTTCGTTTGTCGGGCATCGTTTTGCAGCATTATGAGATTCAATATATAGCGCTGCGCTTAAACTTGAGTGCTGTTGATTTCATGGGATCTGTCTTTTTGTGTTTTGTTTTTTTGACATTTGTTATTTGTTTGCTCTTGTCTCTTTTTTGTTAATTCTGGGTAATCATCCAGAAATGGCACCCTATTTTGAATAAATCGAAGAATAATAGCTGAAGTGATTTCTTGAATTTCTTCTGCTAGAGCTCTGTGGAAAAAATACACAGTAACCCTGCCGCGCTTGCATGAGAAGTGGGACTTCCTTCATTTAACAAATGCTTGAAACGATCCGCATACAATAAATAAACAGCGGAGCAAACACAATAAAAAGTGCCTATCCACCTCACTGAAATTCTGTCCAGACGAAGTAAGTATGTTTGTAAAATACTCCGGAGGTACCACACAGAAGCTCCGGATAGCAAGAGTGAGAAACCCGCCAAAATTGCTCCTGAGGTGCCACGTAATCACTCCGGCCTGCCGGAGTAAAATGGCAGTAAAAAGTACTTCAGCAGCGCCACGCAATCGGTACGGTCGGCCGGAGTGAAATATCTGCTAAAAGTACTCCTGGTGCGCCACGCAATTCCTCTGGTGAGCCGGAGCAAAAATATTGCTCCGGATGTCCGGAGCAAAATTGCCCCGAATAGGGGGGACGCTCCGACCACGGAGTAATTTTCCTACAGTGTATGGCTGAAAACTTCTCCTTGTCTCAACAACATAAAGACATGAACTAGAGTGCGCAAAGATATTTTATAACTGACAGTATGCTGCCGGATATACATATGTGATGATGAGACACAAAGACGCCGCTGAGTAGACAACAGAGTGGCACCGAAAACCGGCAGGCACGTGCACTGAATCAAGAGCGGTTTGCGGCACGTGCCCTTATGGCACGCATGAAAGAAGTCAGAATAGGCCACATTGATCAATCAGATGGTACCAGAAGCTGGAGAGAAGACGCATTGGCCTGGCCGGACGTCAACGTACGGGATGGCAACGTTTCCAAAGGAGCCTCTTTGGATGTTCATACCCGAAGTACTCTGTACACGTCACGTCCTCTGCTCCAGCGCCCAGCGGACGCAGCATCTTCGACAACTCGCCTCGCCCCTCTCGTCCGACAATATCGACGCCACCGCATTTGCTTCCTCGGCACCCAAACGCGTGAGCGTGTTGTCCGTTTGAATTGCTGTGATTCTGAACACGCTTCACTATTTCATATTGCTTGCTGTGCTTTGTACATGTTTGTGTTCTTCCTTGCTGCCCTAAACAGGGTCGCTCGCACGACTCTCAAAGAAGGTGTCGTGCACCAAACCTGAATTATAAGTATGAATTTATAGAAAAAGAAGTGTACACCGAAGGGTTCCTTTTCTCGTGTTTTACACAGTATTATTGAGATCTAACAGACAATAATGCCAAGCGAATTATAGGGAAAGTTAATACACCAAATTGTGATATAAATGTGAAGAAAGAAAACTGGGTGAAAAGGTGACTTGCCGTGGGCAGCAACCAAACCTGCGACCTCTAAATAACGTGTTCGATGCTGAACCACTGAGCTACCATGGCGGCTATCCCCCCAGCCACTTTATTGGGTAGATATGTGAATTTAAACGTCGGAGTGTCAGTCAGCGCCAACAGTAGCCATGGCGGCAAGTGTGGTACAATATTTATGAGCCCGTTTGGCGTCACGTAGCACGTGAACTTATTACGACCTGGCAGCTGCTGACCAATAGTCCCTCGTATGCAACCTGAAGGTACGAAGTCCGCCAGTACGAGACCCTCGTTAACGAATAGGGGAAGAATTGTACACTTAAGGGTTCCTTTTTGCGTGTTCGACACAATAATACTGAAATATAGCAGACAATAATGCCAAGGAAAGTATAGAAAATGTTAATATACCATACTTTATAGTATCTATCTATCTATCTATCTATCTATCTATCTATCTATCTATCTATCTATCTATCTATCTATCTATCTATCTATACATATATATATATATATATATATATATATAATATATATATATATAATATATATATATATATATATATATATATATAATATATATATATATTATATATATATATATTCAGAACAGACTTCGAATGGCACCACCGACTGTGTAGGTTTCTTTTTTTACACCAGCAAGTACATATGCCCAGTCACTCACCTGATTAGCGTGGAAGGAGCTAATTTAAAAATACCACCAAGGTAAATGAGCTAGATACTGATGCCTGTGTAGACAATACCACTGCCGACGTGGGAACACGCTGAAGACCACGCCATCTCCGTAAATTAAGGTGATCCATTCTTATGAAACCTATCATCCTAAATAACAAAGTGTAGTATACTCATCTGTTCATTTGAGCACGTCTACTTACTCCGCATCGCGCAGATAGTATTACGCGTAGAGCGTTGTCTTTTTCTGGATGCGCCATGAGGGCTGCATCGACGCCGTCTAGGGCCCCGGCTCGCAGCAGCAGCTCCTTGCCCATACCGCCTTCTTCAGCAGGTGTGCCGAGCACCACCACCTGTGAGCCGGTGTTCAGTCGCGTTGGAACACATCCACCACACTGAGCTCATTTTGACACTCAGGGTCACATGATAGGTAACGTTTTTTGTTTACTTCAGCGCTGGAGTACACGAACTCACGCCGTTATCTATGCGTTGCACTATACGAATATCTTTTAAATGGATGTGGAGAAAACTGGGCAAGATCTGTCAAAGGAGACACAATGCCACCTTAAAGTTTTCCCATTTAAGGCGCACTTTGCAAGAAATCAGAGAATTACAAGTACAACAGATTGAAAATGTTTTCAAAGTATTTTTCATATAGTTAGAAAATGACACACAAGTACGCGTGGTTCCCACGCACCGTCAAGGTCAAAAAGGCGCACGCTCGCGAGAGCTGTGTTTTAACCTATGACGTTGCAACCAAAGCTTTCTAGTTATGACAAGCCACCTTCAAAATTATAAAGTGCGGCTTTTCGCCGGACTTATATGTTGTATTTTGGCTCAGCGATTAGACTTACTGCTTTCCGTGTGGAAAGAAATTATATCTGCATGCTTCGAAGCATGAAGCTATTTATCACTCATTGCGTTCTTTTCTCTGGAATAAACGGAGATATACAGTTGTGGCTGCAATGTATGAGCGCAAGCGCGACCGCGCAATCAAACACATATGCTTGCAATTGATCCTATACTACATTTGAATAAACACCTATGTAGACTGGCTTAATGTGGCGAGGAAAATTCTAAAATGTGGCTAGATAAAGTATATTCGACTCGAAGAGGTGACTTTTCATCACAAAAACGGCTATCACGATAAAAAATTCAGGGTTTTTATGATATTGCATGTTTGTTCTCGACTGTCAGCTGCAACATGATAACAAGATCACTGAGTTGAACAAAAGTAATTTTGCGTTGATATAAATTGATTCCTTATGACGTATATGCATCTGCTTGTTTTCAAGCTAATATATGTTTTTAGGCTAGTAGATGGCGCTAACGCGATCTTGACAACTCATAGCGCTGAAAGCAGAAAAATTGGACACTGTTTTTTTTTGGAATGAGATGAAGGAAAATTGTCTCATTATTTTTTTCATTGCTTCAAGCACTGCACTAAGGGCTTCACTCCAACTCCGCATTCAAATTCTGCTATTTATTCATAGTGACGTCACGTTTGCTTTTATGATAGGGCATTGTTCACAGACCAATCTACAATGGAACCCTTACTGCAAGAGCATTGCAAGGCTCCTGTCTCACTTGTGAAGTGGTGGCGAACATGGCGTAATGGAAACAATATGACGAAAGACAACTTCTCGATCGGTTTGCACAACAAAGTGCATCATTGTTTTAATCACCCTCAATGATTTCTTGCATGCTTAAACTTTAATTTTTATAAGTTTAGCATTGTCGATCCTGACAATTTTTTAAAGAGAGTAGGCCCCACTTTGGTAAGATTGGTGCTGTTTTGCTGCCACAAGAACATTTCGATATATCGGGGAAATATATTACACTCTAGGGCCTTCTAATGTCTTTTTGACGGGACAACGTCTTATTAGCCCGTTCTTTTCTCGTTCTCTTACGTAATAACTTACAGAAATGTGCGATGAAGCTATCTAGCACTGAAATAAACATCCAATGTTTAAAGAGGAGGTATCACTTTTGTTAGAGCAGCGAATTGCCCTGTGTGAGATATTTCTACATAACTCTTGAAACCGCTTCTGCTAACCTCCGTTACTGATCATACATATGTTCTTACCTACCCTGCCTTGTAGCGGCACTCCGGACAACTGCTCGTGTGACTTCATTCAGCTGACGCACTACCACTGCAGCAGTCAGGGCACACTGGGCAATCAGGTTGTGCCCACACGCGTGGCCGATCCCCGGTAGAGCGTCGTACTCGCACAGCAGGGCCACAGTGGGAGATGAGCCTTCTGCGAATTATTAACGAGAATTGACCCGCCACGGTGGTCTAGTGGCTAAGGTACTCAGGCTGCTGACCTGCAGGTCGCGGGAATCCAATCCCGGCTGCCACGGCTGCATTTCCGATGGAGGCGCAAATGTGTAGGCCCGTGTGCTCAGATTTTTGTGCACGTTAAAAAACCACAGGAGGTCGAAATTTCCGGAGCCATCCACTATGGCGTCTCTCATAACGATATAATAGTTTTGGAATGTTGAACCCCACATATCAATCAATTAACCAGAATTCTTGCCACGAACATCTCGCTTGGAGCTTAAGCCCTTATTGTAACATTAGTGCACGCATTCACAAACATGAAAGTTTCACCACGTGTTTTCAACAATAGCATGCCAGTAATCAGCACAGGTGTGATCTGATTCACAGCTTATCAAAACAATATAACGCTTGCTTAGCCGAAAAGAGTGCACCGAAGGCAATCAAGATGTATTACACGTGTTGTACATTTCGTCCTTTGTGTAGCACTGCAAAGTAATGTCATAAGAAAATCACGGGTTACTTAGTTTTTATGTGCTGCCTCATATCCACGTCTTTTGGTAAACTTGGAATCTGAATACCACAAGCAAAACCGAAGGAACATAATTGGAGGTATCATGCAATCCGGCCTTACACTTTTCCTGGACAGACAAAGCATATTAGTGGGTCCTAAATATGTTATACATAAAACGAGGCTGACATTCGTCGATATATTTGGGAAAGGAGAAGAATAGTTGAAATTTATATAGTGCGGTAGCCTAGCAAATTAAGTGGAAAAGCAAGCATATACTTCAGACAAGTAGTGATCACAAATCGAAATCACGTAACAGAATTAACTAGAATACTGTGGAATGCAGAACACCTAACAGAATTTATAAATCATCAGCGCTTCATGAACTTTACTCCGACGGAATGTAGCATGACACGACATGAGTATCGTGTCCTTTATGACCTTAGTTGCATAGCACACTGTTTTCGCTTTTGCGGGCGTTTCGAAAGCTTGATTGGTATGACCGATACGACATGTCTGTTCCTCGAATATGTTTCTTACCTTGATATATAGTGAAATTGGTAAAAAAGGGACATATATTATAATATACATATTTGTGAGGTTATGTCAAATAACAACATGCATCTTTTGTATGTCGCAACATACATGACAATACTACGTCATCAAAACATCACGGTGATATTTCAGCACCCCATTATATAGAAGGATGACCAATTAATGATGTTCGCATTTAGAGATCTTGAAGAACAGGCGTTCACATGATTTTTCAAGACTTACCTAGAATATATAAAATAACGAACTGCCATGATTGTTTTATTAGCATGGGTCTATACTAGGACACACACGTGCAGGGTCGCAACTTATAGCTACGTGCACCAATTTGGACTTTTAGAGGCTGGTATCAGAAAAGAAAGTATGTTGGCTGCGTTTATACTCTTTAGCTTGCTTGTTTTTCCGTTGATTTCGGCCAAATTTTTAATGTCTGGTTACATACAAGCTGTTGACGTTCAAGTATGAGCCGCTAAACAATGGTAACTAATTGGTGTTTCTGTTTGGCGTGGTGGCGTAGGGCTTACGAAACCTGCTGTTACGAAACCTGCTTACGAAACCTGCGGCCGTGATCCAAAGGTCGCGGGTTCTCTGGCACAGGCGTTGGGCGCATTTAAATAAAGGCACAAAGCAAAAGGCCCATGTACTGTGCAATGCCAGTGCCCGTTAAAAGACCCCACATGGTCGTAACTAGTGGTGCCCTCCAATTTGGCGTCCCTTATTATCATATTTGGTACGTTAGACCAGAAAATTGACTTTAGCTCGGAAGAATGGCGCCGAGGCATAAGCAGAGGTAAGGGTGGATGCCGTATTCTGCTATAAATATTAAACCTTCACGTTCATAATCTGCAACTCGAGTCGGCCTCGCGTGCACAAATGAAATGTATTTGGTTACGTCGCAAGTGCACAGAGAAAACTGTTCCATGTGGCAGTATTTGCCAAGCCACCTATTCCTCATCGCGACAGTGAACTTCAATGGAAAGCCAAGAAGAATGGAAAGCGCTTCGCATATAGGGTTTCCTGCCCTTGTGTACATAATAGAATCACAACATCTGACAAACTGTTGACGACATTTCCTATTACTTTGTGCAAGCATTGACTTTGCAGTATTAACTGCGTGGCACTTATCTGAACGCGTGAAATAATCGCAGAAGCGAGTACAATCTATGCTTCAATTCAAGAAAGTGTGGTTTTTATTGTAGTCGCATCATGAGGTCATTTCCTTTGTCATTACTTCTAGGCTTTTTCAGAAACGTGAGGCGAGGTGCAGTATTTGTCCGTACAGGACTTTTCTCTTGTCGGGCGAATTCTCAGGCTTGTTTAAGAACAAAATAAGATATTAAAACTTTCGCAGTATTACTAGGTATTTCAGGCAATTGTAACCTCACCGATGAGGACCGAATTACTGCGGTCAAAATGCGGTTTTGGCACATGCAGCACGTAACCAGAGCCCTTGATATCGGTTTGACAATTATGAGAAACTGTTCACGAATGAGGACCAATTTATTGTGGTCATAGTGCTGTTATGGCACGTACAACACGCAAGCATAGCCCTTGATATCAGCTTGATATTTATGAGGAACGTCTTGTAGTTCGCTGTGGACTCCCAGCCCGCTATTTGTGATGTACTTACAGCACATGAGTGAGGAAAACCACGCTTTTGTTGTGCAGAACACAAGCGTTAGTCTTGATTTCATTAGTCGCAAAAACATTACACACATGTATTTATATGTATGCTTTTGTGTGACTAGGCGCACGCATAATACAAATATTGTGCAAGAAAATAAGCTGACAACTTTAGGCAGGAAAAAATGCCCGAAATATAGAATTTACATGTATTGAAATTGGATTTGTTCAGTGTAGTACCGAACATCACTGGAAAGGCGTGCGATGAGTTTTATGTTTTGCAACAGCACGAAGTATTGCTATCTTGCAGAATTTTTTTAAACCGAACAGTTGATGTTTGAACCTCAGAAATTTTGATATCGAAGTGCTTAGCCAGACAAGTCTAGGTTTTCAACTAAAGTCTTCTGGATTTCTTCATTGAAATAAAGATGGCGAGGCCATTTTCACACACGCTTTGCTATTTTACAATTTTATGCGCAGTTTAATCTGGCTGGCTACTTTTTTCGTTTTGTTATTTTCGGGCTATTTTTTCTGCCTGTTTCAGCTAGCAACTCGTGAGCATGCAAGTATAATAAATATTTGATGGCTAATGCGGTGACGTATCATAGCGATTGCCTTATCAGCGCTGCTCTACATTGTACGAAACTTCTCACAGACTGATTCCCATTGCACAATTTACCGCATTGCGTGGGATGTGCAATTTTTTCCCAAACCTTTTCTTCGGAAAACAGGGAAACATATGGCTGACTCAGTATAGTGCGAGTAAACGCAGTTCTACAGCTAATATTTTAGCGCAGAACTTTGGGCCTTTTGAGATGAACTGCATGTACAAAGGACTCATATTTTATTAGCTTCTGAGGAACATCATATGACAGATCTTGATAAGCTAGCAACTTCATACCTTCAGCACCTATATCGTTGGATTCAACTTAACACACTTTTAGAAAATTTCGACACTTCGTTGTGTGCAACATTGTTCATATTTTCTTTATTTCTATATTTTAAAAAACAAAAGCAGAAACAAGAATGTATAAATTAAATTGCCTCAGCGTTTTTTCTGCTCTTTTTATTTTTGATAACGTCTAATCAGGCACTCAAATCCATAGTTTGAGCTAACCTGCGTCATTGTTTACAAGCACAGACTACAATGGCTTGTAGGAAGAGAATAACGTTCAAAAGGCGCATTACGATCATTTTACCTCCGTATTCAGCGCGGAATGCAGTCTGTAGAATGTAGTGTCGCTTGACGTCGAAACCTTCTTCTTCGAGGAAAGTGCAAAGAACGTCGTGGGCCTTGTGCTCCTCGAAACGAACCTCCGGGTTATCCCACAGGAACTTGCCGATCACGTGTAGCTGCTCCCTTTTTGCCGCCACCACGTCCTCCACAATCTTCTGGGCGTCTAACTGTGCCGAGACAAGATTTGGGAAAAAAAATTTTGGTTCGCAGTAAGAAAAACGCTAGACAATATATTTAAAAAGGATTACTGTACAAAAAATGGCAAATATGGATAGGCAACTTAGACTTAAAGATAAAAATAAAAAAAAAGAAATAAGAACATTGACACAACAGTTACGCAGCTTGTAGATAAACACTGTTACGTTTTGGAGTCCACACCGAACGTCAATGCCTCTGCAATAGCAATCTGTGTCAAGGCGAGCGATCGAGCCCGCCTGACGCGATCAACTCAACGATGTCATCAAGCGGCGGCACCAGTCTGTTACGCAACGCACAGCGAGCTCCCTCACCCCACGGGCCCGATAAAGCAAGTGGCGCCATCCAGTCTGGCGAGTCTTACGCAATGCGTGGCAACATCACTCGTCCTTGGGTACAACCAAGCGCAGCGGCGGGTCCCCGTTGGAGGATTCTGACATCACGGCCAGCGGCGCTTCTGGTTAGACGTTGGTGCGCTAAGATCCACCCGGTGCCTATAAAAAAGGCAAGCAGCGCGTCGTCAGAAGCTGACCTATGTGTCACAGAAGTCTCTCGTTGCTTCGAGCTCCTTTCGCTGTCGCTGTGCCTGGTGTCCTTGGCAGCGGCGAGTTTCGTGGCACCCTTCATAACGTCGTCGACGGAGCGCCTTCGTAACAGTGGATGGCAGCTGCGGGATCGGCCAGCGTCAGCGACATAGATGTGGTGAGTGCCTGATGTTTTCCCTTCAGCTCACAAACTACTCTAGCATAGCGTATAGTGGGTTAGAGGAGTCCTGAGTGAAGTATTATTGAGTAAGCTTTGATCGTTTCAAGCCAAGTCGGAGTGCTTTGAAACCAAAGTTAATGCGGATGGTGTAAACACGGCAGTGCTGAAAATTGCTTGCGCGTCTTGCTAGTAGCCTTATATTGGGTACGGGAAGCAGATTCTTAACAGGGGTAAACAGAAAGAGGCTAGTGTGAACGACGGAGAACCTTAAAGTGAATGAATTTATCGAAATTTGTGAGGAACATGGCATTACTTTGGGCCGTGCGAAATGAAAGCAAACGACCCTTGAGATCACGAAGGATGAAGGAGCGTCGGCTGAGAAAGTCGATGAGGCCTGGGCAGATATCAAAGCACGTCGCGAGAAGGCCGAAAGGCGAGAAGTTCGCGAACGTGAAGAAGCTGAAAGACGCGAACGTCGCGAGCGTGAGGAGGCCGAGAGACAGGAGCGCCTCGAGTTGAAACGAAGAGAATTGGCAATCCTACAGTGTTCGCAGGCGCCTAGTGTAGCTTCTGCGACAGTTCAAGTCAGCGTTTATAGAATTAGGGACGAACTGCCACCGTTCGTAGTAGGAGAGGACATGGCAAAGGATCTCGCGAAGTTTGAACATGTCTGTGGGCAAAATGCTTTGGAGCGTTCCCTTTGGGCGCGGAACTTGTTAGCTCTTCTTCCCGGCGAAGTGTCCCACGTGATAACGTGCTTGTCGAGGGAAGCGTTTGAAAGCTATGACGAGGTTAAGTAAGTGCTCTTAAGACGTTATAAGTTGTCACCCGAGGCTTTCAGGCAAAGGTTCCAGTACGCTAAAAAGGGGAATGAGTCACGCGTTGACTTCGTGTTTCGTCTTAAAGCCGATTTAGTTGAATGGCTCAAGGGCGAAGTTGTTTATGACGATCGTGGTGAAGTTGTTGAATGCATTGCAATAGAGCAATTCTACCACTCCATTGAGAAGGATGTCAAGCTTTGGCTGCAGGACAAACTTGGTCAAGTACAGCTAAACAAGGCAGCAGAGTTAGCTGGGGAGCATTATACTCGCCAAAAGTTGCACAGCAGGGCAGTGTACGTTGAAAAGGATGAAAGGAAAGAGGGCTTTTCAAAGAAACCTGATTAACAAACCCGCTCCGCTCCATAATTTCAGGAAGGACCTGTCTCTTACAAAGGACACTGTCGGTGAAGGGCAAACGAAAGCGAAGAAATCGAGTGAGGTTCCTAAAAAAACACACTGATACCACACGCGTGTTTTAGTCAAGGAAGCCGGTAATGTGCTACAACTGCAAACAGGACGATGATAGTTATAGCGCGAGAACAAAACCATGACACAGAGACAAGAAGTACACGAAGGTCATCGTTTTGTTCTGGCGCTATAACTATCATCATGCCATTCCAACTAGCCCCAGCTGCCGCACTTCTAAGTTGCAAAAAGGAAGCGCACATCGTGATAAACTGTAAGCAAAAGTTTGCTTTCGCAACAATCCGAGAATCTGAAAAGAACATGTGGTTGTTAGAGTCGTATCTCCACGAAATAAGTGTGAATGGAAAAACGTGTCGAGCACTTAGAGACTCACTGGCAACCATGGACGTTGTCCATCCTTCGTTTGTGTCTCCGGACGAGCTTACAGGAGAATGCGCGTGGATCAGGCAAGTCGCCGAGGAGCAGAGTGCTTGCTTACCAATCGCTACCGTTGTCATTGAAGGCCCGTTCGGTAAACTTCACACCGAGGCGGCTGTGTCTGCCGCGCTTCCCGATCGTTTTCCTTATCTTTTTTCCAACCTCTCGAATAAAGCGCTTATGAAAAGCGTATAGTTGGGAACAAAGAAAACAAATGTTTCTTTTTATGAGGTGCAACGTCGCAAGTATGAGCAGCTGTTGGTACCGCATAGGTATCGTCGCCTAAATGTGGCCGGTCACTGAGGTGGAGCATGATACTCCAACAGCACAACTTTGACGTTCATTACAAAAAATTGGAAAGCTAAACGCTAATGATTGAGCCGTGCATTTTAGTTAGTACCTTCTGCACCTTTCTGTTTCTTGCTAGCGATTTGTGGCAAAATTTTGTCTTCACGGCCTTAGCTGAGCGCTCTCGTCTAGAGTGATCTCAAGAGGCCAACTTTATGTTGCAGTCTTTTTCATTGCGTTGTTGTACGTGTAAAATTTGAGTTCTCATTTTAAGTGTTTAGTCTCCCACATATGCCTGTTGATGTAGAGGGAACGAAATTCCAATAGACATGTAGCTAGATATATGTTGTATTATACTTTTCTGGTGTTCTGTCGGGTAACCAGGGGCACTTGCTTGTGTCGTGTGTTGTCTGTTGTCGAACCGTTCTTGACAAGTCGCAGAACCATCGACTAGTGCTGAGACCAAAAATCGTCCGAAGAGACGAGCGAAGCTGGCCGGCAAGTTGTGGCGACAAGCCAGTGGAGCTAGTACTCGTCCTCAAGAATGGGATGTGTTCCTGGAACTGAGCCTAGAGCTACATTCTCCCCATGGCCCTGGAGGCGAACCTGGAGGAACATGGCCAACGAGCGCGCCCGACATCCGAGCCACGTGGAAGCAGCAGCTCGTCTTTCCGGCGCATTGTCTGATGGTGGGGGTGCTGTTACACCTGGGAGTGCACACCAAACGTCAATGCCTCTGCAAAGAGAATCTGTGTCAAGGCCAGTGATTGAGCCCGCCTGGCGCGATCAACTCAACGACGTCATCAAGCGGTGGTGCTGGTCTGTCACGCAACGCACGGCGAGCTCCCTCAGCCTACAAGCCTGATGAAGCAATCGGCGCCTTCGAGTCTGGCGAGTCTTACGCAATGCGTGGCAACATCCCTCGTCCTTGGATGTAACCACGTGCAGCGGCGGGTCCCCGTTTGATTATTCTGACATCACGGCCAGCTGCGCTTCTGGTTAGACGTTGGTGACCCAAAGATCCACCCGGTGCCTATAAAAAAAGCCAAGCGGCGCGTCGCCTGCCGTTGACCTATGCGTCAGTGAGAAGCCGACGTATGCTTGTGAGAGAAGACATCTCGGCTCTTCAAGTCCCTAAGCTGTTGGTCCCAGTGCCGAATATTAACGCCTCTATTTATATGCTGTACTTAAACCTTGCATTAACTCACCGTCGTCTCATCCGCTCGTCTATCAGTTCAGCGCAGAAGCAGTCGCGAGCTGAGTAACACGCGCTACCAAACGGCTGGTGACTTTGGCGCCGGAGTTGGGAGCAGTGGCACCTTCGGGATAGTGTTGGCGTCGCGCCTTCGTAACAACACACATATATTTATGTTGCACGTAAACTTCGCGATGTCAGTACATGATGCATAACACCAGGAAGAGAAAATTTTTCAATCATATTAAATTTGGGGCATAAAACTCTAATAACATATTTATTTTTAGGACTTTTTTATAATAATAGTATTAATATTAATAATAATAATAATAATAATAATTGTTGTTATTCGTAATATATCTAAGCTGATATTATTAATACTATTTATTTGTACTACTACTACCTTTTTCATCGATGCATGAACGTTCGTTTACATGAGAAATGCACTATAAAGTATTTGACACCAGCATGTATCAAGTATTTCGAAAGGTTCAGTTTCAGACGTTTCAATATCACGATAACATTATGGTTTTAGAATGAATTCGTTAGAGTACGTATCTAATGATCTTGAAAAGAAACTGAAAGCAAGCTTTATCTTGATAATATAGTGCACGTTTAAAATTCTTTCTAACCTCGAAAGTATTTTGTAAGAACGTGATTTTTCTTTTTTTTCTCAAAGCACTTTCTTAGAATTTTAACCTAATGCTGGGCTCTGATGCCTTCAGCCTTTACCGCATAGGTCTGTACCCACAGCTCGCAGAGAGAATGCATTGCTCTCGGTGTAAAAATATATTGTTCTTTAAATAAAACAAAATGTTTTCGACACGGTGTTGAAGACTGAATGAATATTGGGGCAGCGTCATTATCTGTAGGCTGTCTTGCCTAGCACGTTGGGGCTTACGCATTCAAAAAATTCATATTACGGTTGTGTTTAAGTTGGGACGGCAGACTCCGACGCCTATTGCGTATCAAAGTCACAGATAAAGCATGACGATGCCATAAAAGGTGAAGACTTGTTGTCTTTTGGAGTTATTGACACAAACGCAATTTCGTGTAAGCCGAGAGAATACAGCGAGTTGCTTCCTCCTATATATAATGTAGCGTGAGATACACTAGCCCT